GGTGAAATGAGGACCCAGACTGTTGGGGGCGATATGCTGACTCTGTAAACCGCTTAGAGAGGGCTGAAAGCCCTATGAAGCGGTATATAAGTCTAGCTGCTATTGCTATATGACAAAATGGAGGTCATTTTCGGATTCAGTGCACCAAAAAACATAAAGATTATGTGGAATAACCAAAACAGCTCTCGAAATTTATTTTTTTTGCAGACCTGTTATCTCTATATGTCCATTGAGGGCTGATTTTGCCATGTTTCCAGCAATTCCCTAGCATTTTTGGACTTGCTCGGATGCTCAGAGCTGCCCAGTTCGAACCCCGAAGCATAGAATAACAGGATTGGAAGAGATATGATGACCCGCACCCCACCTGAGTTCGGTTTGGGGGGGTCCCTGGCACCGTCCTTGGCTGCATCTTTCTCCATATATTTTCTTGCACAGCTGGAGGCGTCGGAGATCTGTTGCCCCACTTTGAATAAATGTGAAAAACCTCTTTTGGGAGGGTTGCTAGGTAACTGTTGGAAGAGCGGATCAGATTTAGAAAAAAGGCAGAGCAGGGAGGGAGGAGAGAAAGAAGAAACGAGGAGGAGGAGGAGGAAGAGGAAGAGAAAGGAGATCAGTCGGTGATGGTGGGGCGGGGGGAGGAAATGCTGATTTTCCTTCTGGAAAATCTTTGCCTAGTTGGAGCACAGAAAATAGAGGTCAGATCTTAACTTCCTCAGCGGAGGTCCACCCTGTAATACAGGAAGGAGGGGGGGGGAAATACAGCTTCCATCATCCACATCCCTTCTGGGCCGTGTTGCTAGGATGAGATGAGGTAGTCACCCAGCATATCCCAAATGCTCAAATATCATTTTCAACGACACGCAGCCCCTGACTTACAACAGTTCATTTAGTGAACAAAAACAATGATTTGCGACTGTTTTTCCGCACGTACGACCCAGCGCGGCATCCCACGATCAAAATTTAGACGCCGGGCCGCCGACTCGTCTTTACGACGGTCGCAGTCCCCGGTGCGAACCTGATTCCCCTCTTTAACAACGCTTCTGACAAGCAAAATCGATGGGGAAGCCGGGCTCGCCTTATAACAACCGCGCGACTCGCTTAGCAGCTGCAAGGGGTTCCCTTAACGGCGGCGGCAAGAAAAGGACGTATACCGGGACGGTAATTCGCCTAGCAACGCTCTCCCCTTTAGTAAGAGGAATTGTGAGCTCCAGTGAGAGGCCCACCTGCCTGATTGTCATACGAGTGAGCTGTTCGAATTTCCCCGCATTGTCCCCGTGGCCATCTTGACTTCTTGACCCTCCTCTCGCATGAAAGCTTTTCTCTGCCTCTGTTTTGGCTTTTTCCGTGGTGCGTTGGAGCGGGAATCAGCCTTGTATGAGTCAATCTTTTGCCGGTGATGCCGGAAAGCAGGATGACTCCAGGCCCCTTGAATTTAATTTCGTTTGAGTCATCTGGAGAGGGAGAGGGAATAGTCGGCAGGTAAAGTCTTGGAGAAAGGGAGAGAAGAAGAAGAAGGAGAAAACGAGAAAGGAAAGGAAGGGAAGAGTGCAGAAAGAAAAGGAGAAAGAGGGAGAAAGAAAAGGAAAGGGAAAAAAAGGAAAAAGAAAGGAGAAAGGGGAGGAGAGGAGAGGCAGGGAAGAAAACGAGAAAGGGAAAATAAAAGTCAGGGAAGGAAAAAGGAAAAAAGGGAAGGAAAAAGAAGGGAAGAGAAGGGAAGGAAAAGGGAGGAAAAGGAAGGAGAGGAAAGGAAGAGAAAGGAAAGAGAGAGGGAGGAAAGGAAAGGAAAAAAATCACAGAAGGAAAGGAAAGGAGAAAGGAAAAAGAAGGAAAGGAAGGGAAGAGTGCAGAAAGAAAAGGAGAAAGAGGGAGAAAGAAAAGGAAAGGGAAAAAAAGGAAAAAGAAAGGAGAAAGGGGAGGAGAGGAGAGGCAGGGAAGAAAACGAGAAAGGGAAAATAAAAGTCAGGGAAGGAAAAAGGAAAAAAGGGAAGGAAAAAGAAGGGAAGAGAAGGGAAGGAAAAGGGAGGAAAAGGAAGGAGAGGAAAGGAAGAGAAAGGAAAGAGAGAGGGAGGAAAGGAAAGGAAAAAAATCACAGAAGGAAAGGAAAGGAGAAAGGAAAAAGAAGGAAAGGAAGGGAAGAGTGGAGAAGAAGAGAAAGAGGGAGAAAGAAAAGGAAAGAAAAAAAGGAAAAGAAAGGAGAAAGGGAAGGAGAGGAGAGGCAGGGAAGAAAATGAGAAAGGGAAAATAAAAGTCAGGGAAGGAAAAAGGAAAAAAGGGAAGGGAAGGAAAAGGGAGGAGAGGAAAGGAAGAGAAAGGAAAGAGAGAGGGAGGAAAGGAAAGGAAAAAAATCACAGAAGGAAAGGAAAGGAGAAAGGAAAAAGAAGGAAAGGAAGGGAAGAGTGGAGAAGAAGAGAAAGAGGGAGAAAGAAAAGGAAAGAATAAAAGGAAAAGAAAGGAGAAAGGGAAGGAGAGGCAGGGAAGAAAATGAGAAATGGAAAATAAAAGTCAGGGAAGGAAAAAGAAAAAAGGGAAGGAAAAAGAAGGGAAGAGAAGGGAAGGAAAAGGGAGGAGAGGAAAGGAAGGGGGAAAGAGAGAGGGAGGAAAGGAAAGGAAAAAAATCACAG